TTTACTGTCAATAACTTGTAATTTTCTCTTCGCATCCTAACTGATTCTTAAAGATTCCCAATTAAGATATTTAAAACAAAATGCTCCAGTCTGGTAACTTACATTCCAAGTAATCTCAATAACTATGTAACTGTATTCCAAACTAGCACTGTATATTCCATTTCCTGACCAAGCAAATGTCTTAAAAGACGCAAATCATCTGGTTAACCTGGATTAAACAATCATGAGTATCCTACATGACAGTCTTAAATTCCATCTCTTGTCCCAAACAACCATGCCTTGAGAACAAACATTGTCTTTTCAGTAAACTTGAGAAAGCATGAAGACCTGTGAAAGCCAATTGGACCTTTGAGAATTCATTTCTTTTGAGAATTGCAAGAAAAACCCTAATTACTGGTTTACTGCCACAGAAGAGAATTTGTCTGATCGATTCCTGAGCCAACTTGAATATCTGAGAAACCCTAGGGTTGTATTTTCTATGAAAAATGGGAGGGCAAATTTTGGGGTACAACACTGAGGTATTAAGCAAGACCCTAGGATTCAAGACACGAAGCTGCTTTAGCGTATTTTCGAAGCTACCCTCGGAGGCAGCCTGAACGTCATCCATCTCCAGTTGAAAACGAGCGACCAGCTTAGCTCGGGTCTTCAGGCCCTTTGTATCCTCTGACTCATCTTCAGTGGGTGCAGCCTCGGCAGTCATTATCGCCACCATCTCCTCCAGAACCTTCTTTTCAAGCAACCAGACCTTGCGTTCCTCGTATAGCTTCCCTAGATCCTCCTCATCCAGCTTCCGGGCTGTCTTCTCATAGCTCCACCCCTTCTCAACCGCGGTCAATTTGGCTCGTAGCTTATTCAGCTGATTTCTTGAGAAGAGCTCCCCTCGGTGTAGGCTACATCCATCTCCAGTATCCTCATCAGCCACCAGCATCTTGCACCAACAATGACCTTTTTTCAGGCGATCCAGCCCCTCAAGGTGAAGAGACTCAACTCGGGGAAGTTAGAGAGCGGCATCCTCAAAGAAAGCCACTTCCAGCCAGCAGGGGGCAGATCATACTTCCCTTTTCCCTTTTATCCAGTCAAATAAATGCTCCCCTCGACACATGTGTCTTCGCCTTCGAGGACACAGGAGCTAGAGAGAGGGTAATAGCAGCTTGACCTGAGGACGAGTTGCTCGACCCTGACATAGGTGAAGTCCCTAAATCGTCTTGGGCATCTTTCAAAACCTTCTTCGCCTTTGCGACAAAGTTCATGGCTATGCGTTCCTGAGAAGGATTCATGCTATCTGCAGAATAAACAACAAAATCAGAGTTAGCAAACGAGGACTTAGAAATGTCAGACATATATAATCATTCAAAACATAAAGCTAAATACCCAAGTATCTAACAGGGTCCTCGCTCTCGAGGAGCTCCTTAACAACTATCAGATCGGGCATGTACACGATCTCCTCGTTCTTATTCGTGACCGGCTTTTCTCCCTGGCCCGTGCACTGGACGCGGGGAATCCGCGCGACAAAAGCGGTCAAAACGGTAAAACTCGTCAGGTCCTTGTCACCAAGCTCCCCCTCCTTCCACACGTAGGAACCCAACTTGTTATCAAAATGCTTCCTCGTCCACTGGAAGGGTAAGTTATATACCAACTTACTCACATGTTCCCCCAACTCGTTCAAGACGGGGGCCCCATTCTCATCATATTCTGGAGTAGCCCGAAAAACATTTAGCATCGCCCTTCTCGAAAGAGGCTGGACGAGAATATACTTGTCTTTAAAGTGTCAGACTGATTCCAGGTAAGCTTTAAACAACTTCCCATTACCCTGTTTCAAAGCGACCCATCCCCACTTGCCATCAACCTTGCTCCTTTGGAGATGAAAACAGTAGAAGAATAAAGAAATGGTAGCCCCTATTTTCAGATAATCACAAACAATCTCGAACGTTCGCATAAAGGCGACCCCGTTCGGAGGCAACTGAGAAGAAGCCAATCGAAGGTGCCTGAAAATGACCACCTAGAAATCCGAGAAAGGAAGTCGAAGGCCTATCTCCCAGAACACAATCTCATACATGGGGATCCGCTGCTTATCATATTTCGAGCAGATCTGACTGTCTTTCCCGGGGATCCAAAGTAACCACTCCCCCCGGCCCCCATCGTCTTATGCATACACTTCAGTAAAAACCTCATCTCGGTGCTCGAAGAAGTAGGAGACCCAATCCTAAGGATCCTCTATGACCCAGACCCGCGGGTCCTCGTCACCCTCAGGAGGAAATAGGATACCCTGATCAGCAGGGGCCATCTCCATATCCTCTATCCCTATGTGTTGATCAAAATGATTCGGCTCATCCCCGGATATCTCCAAAATGCTCGACGTGCTACAAGTCTCATCTGTAGAGCTCTGAGAAGATCCAGTCCGCATAGTACCTAAAAATCAGAGGATATATGTGAGTTCGACATCAATGCCAAAACCATCCTTCCACCACTAATCAAGTGAAAGGGCACTGATAGAGGAGGACGATGTCTCCAACCAGAACCCTCACTAAAGCATCTGAACGAACAAACGCTTTCCCAACAAAGCAAACTCCAGTCAACAAAAATAACCTAAATCCTCAAGGATCATCTATGACACTTCGTGAAAATCTGGGGAGAAAGGAGCAGTAGCGAACATTTAATCTTCAAGAAACAACGGCGGTCGATAGGTGAGCAGTAACGAGCAATGTGAGAGAAGAACGAAAAGTACATAAATCCTTACTCCTCTTGTATTTATAGCTAAACTCGCCCGCGCATGAGAGACACACGCATAGGGAACCGTAGGATCGTCATCATTGCACCCTAGCCCTTAGGCCATCATTGCATTGTTGCATCAGCATGCCACTCGAAACATGCTACCTCTTCAATTTTGGAAGCTCAGACGACCAACTAACCATCTCCCCGCGAGAAAGGCACAACGAACGATGCTCATGTTCCTTGTAAGGAGCACCTCGTTCAACGAGTAGGCATTAAAGTCATCACTCTTGTGTCCAGAAGCAACAACTTGGGGGCTACTGTTCTGGACTAGCCCGACAGTTAGAGTGGGCCCAGTCTAACCTCCTCCTTCAACACGGTCTGTGCGACCACGATCCAGGCTCCCCCACCCTCCGCCAGGCACCATCAATTATTTTCTCTCCTAGACCAACACTGGCCTACGACGACCGACGAGCGCCTCTCAGTCTGCCTGACCCCAAGTCGACCAGACAACCAGGAACCGACCAGACCGCTGCTCGGAACTAACGACTAGTTGCGGGCGCACCTGCCTGGTTTGATCAAGTCCTGGCAGTTACCTATTTTTGTGGACCCTCATATCTAGGCCCCAAAATAGGGAGCAATGGCCAAGCGCCAGGGGCCCTATATAAACCCTCACTCATGTGAGGGTCAGGTATCAAATATCCATTATTCATCACTAAAATCCTAATACTTTGTTTGTATCTCTTTTTATCCCACACTCACTTGATTGTCGGAGTGCCTTGCAGGTACAATCGCTCTTTTTTCCTCCTCGACTTTCCAGCCCGTCCGAAGATCATCATCCGACCACCTTACAGGTTCTGATCAACCGGTAAGATCAACAGATATACATGAACAACACAGATCTACAACCAGAATCATCAACAACAGATCATAGGTCACCAAAAAAAAATCAAAAACCACTACCAACCTTGGAATCAAAGCAAACACTCGAACCGTTATTGGTTAAGACAAATGATAGAGTTCTTAAACCAAACAGAGAAAGTATATGAGTTCACCTCTACTCTACCTAGAAACCATTTGTAGACCAAAAAAATACTATTCTCCTCCACTTCATTCAGTAATGTTGAAACATTATTGAAGATACCATCATTACGATTCCTCCAAATAGACTAGACAACATCATGCCAAATCATAGCAAAATCACCGCTAGACTTTGCTCTACCATCTAAAAAAAGGAAATACTCAAACTGAAGCTTGTGATATTTAAGAATAACCAATAAAAGATCTTATATCAAACTGAAAAAGCTAACTCACAAGTGACAAAGAGATCCCATTAGAATTAACAATCGTTGCCATTTGAACAAATTCTCCCTAGAAGATAATATATCTTGTAGAAGCTACGAAAGACCAACACCATACTTAGAAGGGGCCCAACTGACCCAGATTAGGGATATGGTCGAGTTGTCAACCAAACTAGAGGACAGCGAAGGGAGAAGGAGGTCCAACTGAACATGATAAGTAGAGATAACAGAGAATATGTCATTTCGTGTATGATTTCAGTTTCACTTATCTCTATATAAAAAGGGTAGAACTACGAAGCATATAGAGAAGATTATCAATGGTGGGTAACTCACGGAAAAAGAAAGGTCTCCTCCGTCTGAAATCTCAAATAAAAATGTTATTAAACCATATTAATAAATGCATCTTAAAAATTGTGAGTGGTTTCTAAATTAAAAAATATAAATAAAAAATATAATCAAGACCAAAATAAATGTTATTAGTTGATTTTTAAATTTTTTAAATACTATATATTAATTTAGTTTAATTCTTAATTTATTTTATATACATGCTCTAAATATAATCCAACCATTTTCATTTCATAATATTAATTTTTAATAGGATTGTTTACTGTTAAAATTTAAGTATAGAAAAACATATCCATAATATACGGATTAGATCTATGGATTAAAAAAAATGTATTTTCTTATAATAATAGATAATAATAATCATTGTTACTACTTAATCGAAAAGAATTAATAGAACCTTATCCATTTAATGGCTGTCTGAAATCTCGACACGAGAAAAAATGCGTCTACATTAATGGATGTCATTGCAACCCATGAGCCCATGCCATTGATTAATTGAAGTGAGAATTTTCCAGTTAGAAAAGTGTCGTAAAATAAATTTGTAAAAATTAAAATTTTTATTAAAAAAAAACATAAACTCTCATCTATATAATGATTGACACACACTAACACTACATAGCCAAAATCTTCAAACTCCTAGCAAAAATGGCGGTTGAAGGTGTAAGCTCCATGAAGCTATCACAAAGAAACCTCGCAACCCAAGTCATCACAGGACGGTGGTTCGTGGTGTTCGCTTCCTTTCTAATCATGTCAGCCTCCGGAGCCACGTACATGTTCGGTCTATACTCCGGCGTGATAAAAAACTCCTTAGGCTACGACCAAACAACTCTCAACCTCCTTAGTTTCTTCAAAGACTTAGGAGGAAACCTTGGTGTCTTCTCCGGGTTAATCAACGAAATAACACCACCTTACGTTGTTCTTGCTATTGGCTCCCTTCTTAATTTCTTCGGGTACTTCATGATATGGTTAGCAGTATCCAAAAAAATACCAAAACCAAAAGTTTGGCAAATGTGTCTTTACATATGCATAGGTGCGAATTCTCAGTCTTTTTCAAACACGGGTTCACTTGTTACATGTGTTAAGAATTTCCCTGAAACTCGCGGTGTTGTGTTGGGGATTCTAAAAGGCTATGTTGGTCTTAGTGGTGCTATCATCACACAGCTTTATAATGCTATTTACTTCAATGACCCAAAAGCTTTGATTCTTCTCATTGCTTGGCTTCCTGCTGCAATTTCTTTTCTTTTTCTTCGAACCATTCGGTACATGAAACCGGTTAAACAGAACAACGAACTTAATGTTTTTTATAAGTTTCTGTATATTTCACTTGGTCTTGCTAGTTTTTTGTTGGTTATGATTATACTACAGCAAAAAGTGTCGTTTAAACAAAGTGAATATATAGGAAGTGCTTCTGTTGTTCTTATTCTCTTGTTTCTGCCACTTGCTGTTGTTTTTGTTGAACAAAAGAAGATTCAAAAGGTTAAGGTTCCGTTTGTTGATCCATTTTCTGTTAAAATAGTAGCTGATCAAGGTGATAATATCTCACCACCACCGACCACGATGACAACGATGACGACGACGACCGAAGAAAAAGAAACTAGATGGTGGGAAAATATATTCTCACCACCAAAAAAAGGTGAAGATTTCACAATACTTCAAGCACTTTTCAGCATAGATATGATCTTACTATTCCTCGCCGGAACATGCGGTGTTGGTGGAACCTTAACAGCCATAGACAACCTAGGACAAATAGGAACATCCCTTGGATATCCAAAAACAAGCATAAGCACATTTGTTTCATTGGTGAGTATATGGAACTACCTAGGTAGAGTTTTCTCAGGTTTTGTCTCGGAACATGTTTTAACAAAGTACAATTTCCCAAGACCACTCATGCTTACATTAACCATGTTTCTATCCTGTGTCGGTCATCTTTTGATAGCTTTTGATGTTAAGAATGGTCTCTATTTTGCTTCGGTGATCATTGGATTTTGCTTTGGTGCACAATGGCCATTGGTTTTTGCCATAATTTCGGAGTTGTTTGGGTTGAAATATTATTCAACTTTGTACAACTTTGGTGGGGTAGCTAGTCCTATTGGGTTGTATTTTCTTAATGTTAGGGTTACTGGTCATTTGTATGACAAAGAAGCTAAGAGACAGTTGTTTGAAAGTGGAGTTGCAAGAAATAAAGATCAGGAATTGAATTGTGTAGGGGCAAGTTGTTTTAAATTGTCTTTCATTATTATCACTGGAGCTACTTTGTTTGGTGCCATTATTTCTCTTATTTTGGTGGCTAGGACTATTAAATTTTATAAAGGGGATATATATAAGAGGTACCGGTCGGAAGCGGTGGAGGTTGGAGGAGATACGGCACAGTTGGCGGTGGTTAATAACGGTCGCCAGAGAGAACAAGAAGAAAAAACTCTTCGTTAGTGTGCTTAATGTCTATACACACCTATCAATTAATCCAATTTAATGGATACATATTCTTCGGTTGGTGTTCAACTTTATATTTTTGGGTCTTTAGGGCCACTTTGTTTTTTTCTTTACTGTACTCACGTGATGATAAATACAAATATAGGGAATCAAAAGTTATATTATTAATAGTAGTGACTAGTTTTGTTATGTGTAAAATTTGTCTATCTATTTTTGGCGTTTTCTCGTGTTTAACATTTTCTTGTCATTGGAAAAAACAAAACATTTTCATGTGACAGGTGCGTGTTTGGTTTAGGATTTTTTTGCAAGTCGGTTACTTGTTTAAATAAAACTATTAGTCACATGAATATTGGTGTGAACACGTTTAATTTTGAAATTTGAAAAAAAAATAGAAAATATTTAAATATGATTATAAAAAATAAAAAGTAAAAAAAATTAATCAAAAAAAATAATATATATATATATATATATATATATATATATATATATATATATATATATATATATATATATATATATATATATATATATATATATATATATATATATATATATATATATATATATATATATATATATATATATATATATATATATATATATATATATATATATATATATATATATATATATAAGTTAATCAAAAATAAATATTTAAATGAAAAATATATTTTTAAAATAAAAATAAAATTATATTAATTTTTCAATTTTTAAAAGAAATACATCAATAATATATATTTTAATTATATATTATCTTAAAAATTATTATATTTTAAATTAAAAACAATTTTAAAATAAAAATATTAGACACATAAATAAATAAATAACACATTTTTCTTATTTTTGAATTCATACATTATTTTAATTATTTTTTATTTTTATTTTATTAATTGTACAAAAAATATAATAATATGTGTGCTCACATAGATTTTGACATGATTACCCGTGTGTTCACACGGTATTGATTTGTTATTCGTGAATCTGCCGTTTGATTTTGAAAGGAAAAAATTAAATTTAATCATAAAAAAATATAAATAAAAAAGTAGTCAAAGATAAATATATAAGCTAATTAACTAGTGTATTTGCACGAATTTTGGTATAGTCACTCGTGCGCTTATACAATACTGATGTTTTTTACCCGTACACTCACACGTTACTGATATGTTACTTGTCCGTTTGCACGAATACTAATGTGCTACGCATGAATTAATTTTTAAATATAATTAAAATGTTAATAACAACCACAAAATTATTTTATTAAAATAATTTATTATTTTTAATAGAAAAATATATTTTTAAATTAAAAACATAATTGTTTAACCAAAATGGTTAAACAATTATACTATATCCTTCAAAGCCCAAGCGTAATGCTAGACAAGTTTTAATAAGTTAACCATTGTCTTTCCCTCACTTGGCTTCAAATTTTGCACAGCTAGTTTTGTAACATTCTTTCATTTGTAGGAGCTTCCATATTTCGATTCCATTTCCATGTTTGCTTTGTAAATGTGAGTATATGCTATAGTATATAAGAACACATTAATTGTTTAATTCATTTTAATTGTATGCTTCAGTTATAATTTGGTTTCATTTAACATAATGATCATACAGAGCTGTTATGCATCAAATATTGTTGGATGTTACAAGCAGTTAGTTTTGTGGGAGAAAAAACAACACCAGGTAGCAACAATTCAGCTATAGGATTCAACATGATTGATGATACCAAACCAAATTGATGAAACACACCCTAGAAGGTTCATATTGATGTCGCACTTGAGGTCGTAAGTATTAAATTCACACTTATTGTCTTGTATATTTGTTAGTGATGTAGTCCTTAGGCTTCAAAAGCTTTATTAAGAAGATTTAACATGATAATCTAGATTAGAGAAATTTTAAGATTACCAAATACCAAGTACATTGCAATGGCAATAACTGGGATGATAAGTACTAAACTTAATAGGAAACTATTATCAGTTATCTTGCATTCTCCCCTGCGATAATACCGGCAATAAACTTGTTCATGGCTAATGTAATATTAATTAATCTTTGTTATCAAGCACAACAATTTTATTATTGGAAAATATAATAACCTGCACAGCTACCTTCAAGTCAAATTCCATTTTCTGTTTCTTCCAAACCAATTTGAGGCCATTAAAAATACCCTATAGTTCACCATCCACTATAGAGAAACTGCCAATGAAGTTGGAATAGGCCAAAACAAACTGGTCATTGGTGCCTTTAAGGATACCCCGACAACCTGATAAAGCAGTTACCCTAGCAACATCACCATTATAGTTAAGGTAAGGTCCCCAAATTTGAGTTAAGACTGTTATTCAAATCACCTTTCCCAGTTATGGAAGAAATTGTCATGGATTTCACTTCAATTGTCCCACTGTTGCATTACTGCTGGTTGGAGAAAATGTGAGAATTCTTAGGAAACGACAGTTGATTCGAAATAAAGCCGAACATTAATGTCCACTCCACACTACTATAACTTAGAGCCTTCACAAGATACATTGTTGTTCAGGGGTGCAGCAGCTGGATAATTTTTGTAAGAAGCAAAGTGGTATTATTTTATCAAAAATTTGTATACATAATAAACAAAGTATTGCTTCTGACAAATTTGAGATTTGGCTTGAATGCTATGCCAACTTATAGACTTCAGAAACATGATGTGGTTATGCATTGTTTGGTTAAATATATAACGGTGTATCAAAAAAATGAATGTGACTGCTGACCTGTTCCGCCTTGAGCAACAACAACATTCCTTGTAATGTATTGAGGCTTTGGTTGCATCCCGTTTGAACCTTCAATCGCATCATCTTGTATCGTCTCACTTTTATAGTTAGAATTTCTCCGCGACATTGGGGAAAACGAACCACCCATTTCATCCGCAAGGTGTTTCAAAGACCGTGAGCTTTCCTGTAAGTTTTAATAAGGAACATACTGTTATATAAATGAATGGCACAGAAGTCTCAGATTGGAAAGCATATAAACTGATTGTGATGTTTAATGTCCAGGACTTGATATTGTAAGAGTCCCAACATCAAACACCTGGTGTTCAATCAGGTCAATAATTTGGATTAAACATAAGAGATGGATAAGTAGTAGCATACCATGATGCTCCATAATTGATAACAGCCTACAAACAAGTAGTTAACAGAACAATCAAATACATATTTTCTATGAGAAATCACATACAAAACTGGATTTTAAATGCATCGAAAGTGTTGAGTTGTTTCCGGACATTCATCAATATCTGCGTATATAAAGGAAAGCTTTGGGAATTTGTTGCTCAATCTATAGAATGCAGGGACAATTTGGCTGCAAACTCAACACCTGAAAACAGTAAAAACACACACATCACTGACACTATCCTAAACACAATTTCTCCTATGATGTTCAATTCCAAACAAACTAAATTTCAAAACATCATAAACTATATGGTTCAAATCAGTAGAGTCAGATATTCTAAGTGTCCCAACATCAAACACCTGGTGTTCACAGAAATACAATTCCACAACACTATTGTAATCCCAAACCCAACCATCCCCATCACAGTAACAGGATTCCTTAATATCAAAATAGAAACAACAGCAGCCATAACAACTTTAGCATTCCCCAAAACTTGCAGCGTCAAAGCACTCGTATGTTTCGTGACAAAAAACTTAGTCAAATTAACCAAATAAGCAACAGTGGCCAGGGGTGTGAAAAAAATTGGTTACTGATAACCAAATTCATATCCAAATTATTCCATTTATTAAAACTCAATCCAAATATTAAATATTAGATTTGGTGGTCCGGTCAAAATGGTAAACCTATATCCATAAAATGGTTATTGAATATCCAAATTTATTTCTCATCAAATTTTTCTGCTTTCCAATTTTCACACTTTCTCAAGAAAATAAGTTCTACACATTTTCATAAAAATTGAATGATGTTTAACACTTTATTTCAAATGATTAATTATTAAATAAATATAAAAATGTTTAATTATAGTTAAAAAATATACAAACGCTCTCAAATAAATTGAAAGATATAATATACTAAACATTTAAAAAGCAAGATATATTATTATCACTGTAGAAGATAAATTTAAATTTGAAAGAAATTTGTTTGAACTTGATCTCTTTTCATTCAATATACATATACTTTATATAAGAAAACGAACGTGCACAGTGAATTAATTAGTACTATCCCGGTATTAATTGATTTTTCTTTTAGGATTGATAAAACAAAAAGGATCATTTAAACATAAAAAGGTTTTAAAAAATGTTTTGTGACCGTGAGAACGACTGCGACAAAATGTTTTGGACATATGTAGATATTGATACTGTTATATTCGTTTTATATTAAAAAACAAATTATAATTAATAATTTACACTGCGACGAACACAATCAATGTCGTAACACCTTTATCGACTGAAATTGCAAAAATTATAATACGACCGCGACAATTTTTTAAAATCTGCTTAAAATTAAATTAAGGATGTGCTTTATTAATGTTTAAAAAAATTAGTACTTAATTAATTTTAAAATTTTATTAATTAAAATGAATTGAATATAGATTAAATTATATTTAAATAATTTGGATTAAAATTAAAACTGGTTTCAAACCGGTTTTAATCCGGTTTGAAACCAATTATGTTTTTTAAATCAGTTTTTGTGATTAATGATTTGGTTTGTAAACCATAACCATAAAAGTGGATTGGATCACAATATATGATAATCATGCACATCCCTAACAGTGGCATTCCCATCCAACAAAAACACAATTATATTTCAGAAATCAGTAAGACAAACTCATAACAGTGAACACCAAAAATATAAAAGAAGATTCTGAAACAAACACATTCAATGGGAGCCATCAAAGTTTCAATGTAATTAATAATTTTAAACAACATTCAAAAACACTTCAGAATTTTCATGTCATAAATATTTACACATATAACACAATTTTTCATATAATCAATGAATTTATTTTGGTCCAAATTTCATACATCCAATGTAGACCCTTGGTTTTGTACGATGACGGGCAAGGGTTGTTGCTAGGACACCTAAAGAGCAACAAAGAAGAGCAAAGTTAATTTTTGCGAAAATACGATAGAGAGTCGAAAATTTAAAAAAAAATAGAATGGTCGTAATTGACTTACACATTAAAATTTTCAATTGCAATTAATAAATTCAGGATGCACGAGGGATTAATATACTGGCAAGACATAATTGTAGTTCCAGATGATCAACCGCTGCGAACCAAATTATTGCTTGAGTTTCACACTTCTCTTGTTGGTGGTCATGCAGGAATAGAGAGGGCAATGGCTAGAATTTCAGCACAATTTTTCTGGAAGAATATGAAACAGGACATCACAACTTTTATCCAAAAGTGTCTCATCTGTCAGCAAGCAAAGCATGACATTAGAGCTCCTGCTAGATTAATATAGCATTGCCAATACCAGAATGGGGCGATGTGGCAATGGATTTTATCACAGGGTTACCCCCTTCTCATGGTTACACTGTTATCATGGTCGTCATTGACAGGTTAACAAAATATAGTCACTTCAGTCCCTTAAAAGCATATTACAATAGTAGGATTGTTGCTGAAATATTCATGAGAAGCATAGTTAAGTTACATGGGATGCCTAAATCTATTGTCTCGGATAGAGATAAAGTGTCGCACTACGTTGGCCATGTCATCAGCATACCACCCCAAACTGATGGACAATCAGAGGCTCTCAACAAATGTGTTGAGATGTATTTGCGATGTCTCACCTTCCAAAATCTTAGGTCATGACTTAAAGCACTGGATTGGACGGAATATTGGTACAATATAACTTTTCATACTAGCTTGGGCATGACTCCCTTCCAAGCATTATATGGCAGGCCACCTCCTACATTAATCTGATACAGTCATTCACCAGCTGATACACTTAGTGTACAATAACAACTGATGGACAGAGATAGGTTGTTAACTCAATTGAAGACCAATTTGAAACATGCACAATAAGTTATGAAGACCCAAGCTGATAAACATCGAAGGGATGTGCAATTTGCGGTAGGAGAGCAAGTGTTGGTGAAATTACAACCCTATCGACAGAATTTTGTTGCTTTGCGAAAGAATCAGAAATTGGGGATGCGATACTTTGGACCATTCACTATTAGTGAGAAAATAGGACAAATGGCTTACAAACTTTTGTTGCCTCCGGATGCCTGCATTCTTCCGGTGTTCCATGTCTCTCAACTGAAACTGTTTAAGGGACAACATACTGATCCATACATTCTGTTACCCTTGACGACACATGAGCTAGGACCTATTCTGCAGCCTGTAACAACACTTCAAAAGAGGACTATCATGAGAAATGATCAAGTCATTCCGCAGGTGTTGATTCAATGGGATAGCTTGACTGTTAAAGATGTTACATGGGAAGATGTTGATGAAATATCTGCAAACTATCCTAACTTCAACCTTGAGGACAAGGTTGATTTTAAAAGGGAAGGTATTGTAATAAAAAGGCCACATCAGCAGAAAAAACATGTGGCAAAGGCTGATAATAGGATAAATTATGATATGGATCCGCAAATGAAGAAAGTGGGAAGAGGAATGAGGACGCGTCGTCCGTCTTGCAAGCTGCAGGGTTTCATCCATTAACCCTAGTATTTATAGTGTTAGGATAGAGAATGTGGGTGTGAATGATTTGTGAGAATATTTTTCTCTCTTTTTTCTTACACTGAGATTTCTCTCATTCATCATTCATCTTGCTTGTAGTTCAAATTGATTCTCTTCTATTTCATACAATGGAAGTTGAATCAGTTCATTAATAATACAGTAAATCATCAACTTCATATTTCGTGTCCATTACATGCTGCAAGTAGGTCATCATCTAGGTCAATAAGATTCCTATCCAGCTCTAGGGATCTGTAGCAAGATTTTACAGAGAATAATTTACTACTTTATCCTTTCCATTCAAAAATGTCTTCAACATCCACAATAGGCATGGAATCTATTAGAATATTCATGCTAATAATCTGAATAGAACAAGCATTAGTCTCAAGACTGAAACTCGTCAGCTTGAGCGTATGATAAGCATGCTATAACAGGTCATTTTTATTGCTATGTATAAAAGATAAATAATTTCCATATGTAACAAACCATCCAAGAGAAGATGAATAATCATAAGAAACAATATAAAAGTAGAAGAATACAAAACCAACTTCTGAAGGTGTGAAAAACATAAGAAATGGTGGTTTGAATTGGGTTTTGAATAAAAAATTATTTAAAAATAATCCCCTTTAATTAAAATATTTTTCCCACTCTTGATAATAACAATAATTAAGAACAGGAAGTAAAGAACAATGTATGTTCATATTATTTCACTTGAAAATTATAAATCTAGTCTAGTCCACTTGTCAAGGTGATTTCTCCTTTCTCAACAAGGTCTTAATCCAATAATCACACAAATTATTATAATACACAATCTAACTGCAAGTGACTAACGTAACAATCTCTAAGACACACAAGTCCTAAACTTCTCAAGAATACTAACCTAATTGGTCTCTTAAGAAAATCAAATCTCTAAGACACATTAGTCCTAGACTTCTCAAGAATACTGACCTAACTAGTTTGTTAAGGAAATCAAATCTCTAAGACACGCTAGTCTTAGACTTCTTAACGATACAGACCTAACTGGTCCCTTAAGGAAATCAAATCTCTAAGACACACTAGTCTTAGACTTCTTAAGGATACAGACCTAACTGGTCCCTTAAGGAAAATCAAACAATTGTTTGAATCAAGTTATGTTTACAAGAGATGTGCTTCTTTAACAAGCTAATATGTAAATAATTTTTCTAACATGTACAGACTAAAAGAATATGAAAGCATATGAACAACCTTGCATGTATATGTTTTTGAATTAGTGTGAATTCTCAACTTTCTCTCTTAGTCTTCAAGCTTTTACATAGTCAGTAAAATAATATATTTATTGAGGAGTACTCTTGGGATTTCCAGAAGCATTGGAGGCTTGAGCAGTAACACGAGGGACAAGATCGTGTGACGCATCTGCACCTTTTCATTAGGTCATCTGCATTAACATAACATACATTCCATTCAATAAATACTTGAGGTTCAAAAGATCAACTGATTGTGCGATATTAGGGTTTTTACGGTGGTTAAGGCATTCGTATCCTATAAAGGTTGGTTTCTTCTTTAGGCAATGATCAGTGGAATTAGGATTATGATCCATGGTCATTGAGAATTTATTTCTTCATCAATGTTACAAGGCTATTAGGGTTTATTCCCCTATGTGTGATCAAAGTCGGGTTTCTCAGCAATTGTGTTTCAATCGAGGTTTCTCTTCTTAAGGAGCATGAGATTAAGATTTGTTTCTTTTTTATCAAAAGACTTTCTAAGAGAGCCTTATCTTATGTGTCAAGATATTTTCTTCTGTGCGTCAAAAATTATTTTTCTTCAAGGGAAGTATTTAAGGATTTTAGCCTTACGTTCTCAAGTGGACATGCTTGTGACTTGAATTACAAAAAGCTGAAGCATAATACCAGGTATGATGTGAGGGGGCATTAAGTGAGTTAGAAGCATATGAATAAATGCTTTGATTTTAGGAAAAGACAATATGGGAAAGTCATTTTCTTGACTAAATTCATGCATGAATATTCTTGATTCGATCAAATGTTATGTCATATCTTAAGTTCGAGACTTGTTCATTGAATATGCAAGTTGGTTGGAATTCGTTCATTGAGTCTTGAAGTGAAGTGTTCAGAGGATAATCAAATGGAATTAAAAAAATTAAGCATTTATTTGTTTTCGAGAATTTGATTCAAGCAAGTTTGGAAACCTTAGTCATAAGAGTTTCTTGGAATGCAAAAGATAAGATACAAATGGCAAGATATATTCGTTCATTCTAATTCCATTCAAATTGTCATTTTGGTTCAAGTTGTCACTTTCGATATCATTCAACATTGTTCTTTATTATGAGGTCATAAAATATTCATTCAACAATGTTTAAGTTGGCATCAAGATTATAAGATGTTCAAGGTTGTTCATTCATCATTCAAGTGATTATTTTGATGCAAATTAAACAAGTTAGAATAATGATTGCAAAGTAACATGAAGCTTGAATCATGGGAGCAATACGATTTGGATTCAAATGTGGGAAGAAAACAGTTCACGGTTTGGTTCAGTATAAAAATTCCATAGGCCATTTCAAGTAAATTCCATTCAAAATTCCATACAAAGAAAGTGACAATTTCAATCCAATTCATGAATACATTACGTCAAAAGCCATAAGAAAATCTATCCTAAACCTATCTTTCCCAAATAAACTTTAATTTCCTCGAGTTTCTTCATGTTATTCCTCTTCAAACATATTTCCATTTTCGATTAGCCATGCCTTTCAGGTTATGCCACTTCGATTATAACCTTGGTATTGATTCGCCATAAACCGGCATAAATGCAAGCATAAGTCAGTTTTCATTCAAGTTCCAAATTGCCATGGTCCTGCATAAAATCCAAAAAATCAATTCAAGGCTAACTCACATAAAAAGCCGCACTGCATCAACTTGTAGTAAAAAATCAGTTGATAGTTCATTTAATGTCAGTACACCGGTTCAGCCAAAATAAAACTACCAAAGCAAGAGAAAAATGAAAAAGTATGGAATAAAAAATCATCAAACCAGAAAGTTCACAACAAAGAAAATTGAAAAGAAGGAAAGCATATCAAAGTAGAAAATACGAGTTAATGGTTGCATCCCGGCATTCGACAGAAAAGTGAGTCCATAGATCATACAAAACTGATCATGAAAATTAGTTCACTATAGGAAAACCGAATCTCCAAAACAACTAACCATTTCGCGACATCAATTTAAAAACCAACAGATGTTCAGAATTAAACACATAATAAAGACCATGTTAAAATCCCAGCTCAGTAGCTTCTAACAGAATTCATGACAGTTATTAGCAGATTCAGATCTCTCATCCTAACCATCAATTCTTCTAACTAACTACTGAAATCAAGGGCTCAAATTCGTTTCAATCCTAACTAACTTTTAAATTAACAGCTAACAAATTCAAAGGCTCTAAGTGTTTGCTAACAGAATATAACATAATATATAAACAGAACCGCACCTTTTTTCAATCTGATTCTTCAATTCTCTGAAGAATCACATAACCTTATCTCTGCTCCTCTGATCTTCATTCTCCAATTTCTGAAAGAATCATCACAAACTCTTTCTTCTCCTCTCATATTCATCTTCATTCTTCAACAATCTGAGAAGAACCTCAACTTTCATCTTTGACCTTCACTCTCTCTCTGAATTCCTCTACTTCTGCAACTCTTTCTCTCACTATCCATCTCTATCAACCACTAACCTTAAATATTTAACACATCCTTTATCACCTTCATCAATTCAGTGTCATCACCATAACTTCATTCCCTTAAACTCTCCACTTCAACCTTCAACAATCTTCCACGAATCATCATCCTCTCGCAATCTTGCTGCAAACTCCAACCTTCAACAAAAAAAACATATCAACATCTCTTTATTCTGCAACAGAATCATAACACAGAAAATGTGAAAATAGGAAAAGAAGAAGTATAAACGAGATGGAGAAGATCTACGAGAAGCAGTGAAGAGAAGGAGCGGCACCTGATTCACCTCCGAAGCCCAAATTTCGTTCTCAGGTTAAAATATTTGCATCTCTCGCTTTGATTTCATGCTAAATCAACACCGCTTGCATCAAACTTCTCCAATTCGCGTGAATCCATAACATAATAGACTTAGGGTTTGTGACTTCTGGATCTTCGATCCCATTGATTGAGGAGGAGTTAGTGAGATCTGAGGCTAGATTCGTGTTCAGGGGACCGAAATAGGTAAGGTCCATGTTCATCTAGTGTCGGTTTGATGAAGGCCTCTGGCGGTGAAGACGAATTCGTCGGAGTTTCGCGAGAAGAAAAGAGAGTTTGTAAAGTCGAACTGTCACATTATGGACCTAATCTACAAAACGTGTGCGTTTCTTCTCTTTTTACTTTTTGATTGCTCCAATTTGGTAATAGAAAATATGATAAAGCAAGTATAACTAATGAGGAAATTGGGAATTGAAAGATGATGAATTGGGATTTGTTTGGGTTATTGGATCAACGAAAGGGAAATCAGACCGAGTTCCCCCATGCTTTGGACTACTGAGTTTTTATAATCTAAGGTGCTCACAAAAAAGGTTGTTTATGGACTAATTGGTTGGGCCTCTGTGCCACTAGTGCTTGCTATACAACACCTCTTCTCTTGCTTGCACCCCCATGGTTTACCTTATTGCATTTTATATATTTTTTAATTATTTTGATTTTATTTTTCCATTTCTTCACAAGATAAAAATAATAAAATCAATAAAAAAATTTAGATTTTTTTATTTGATTTCGGGAATTAAATCAGGATTATCTGATAACTTGAGATTTATAATTCACCTTTGTTTGTTGAGATCTGAGTCTTATGCAGGTTTATAGTGTGATATGTGGATATGCTTGAGATTCCAATTGTGATTTATTTTCACATCTATGATGATTCGACGCTTATTCCGAGCATTTGATTTCTAACTCTTCTTTGTTGCTTGGTGAAGCTTACTCGAAGTTTTACGGGTTTCTCTGCATTTCCTGCTATTCTACGAACTATTGTTCGTATGGTATCATTCTGATTGTGGATTATCATTTCGTATTTTACCCTTTTCTAGATATCATGAGAAGTAGGAACTTTACTGCTTTCTAATGCCATGAGAAGTAGGAATAGAGATGTATGATGGGGATTTCCATTATTGATCATGCCAGGAGCCCCTCTAGTTTATTTAAAGACATGTTTAAGGCAATTATGCATTTACGTGTGTGATACGGTGGGAGAACTGACTTGGGTGTTTTGCGTTTGATCGTAAATATTGCGGTTAGCAAGAGTCACCACCGACTTTTCTTTTATCCAAAAGGAAATGTGAAAAAGCACAGGAAAGACCTTTGAGATTATTTCTTGAGTTCCGGGGGTAGATTATGAAAAGGGAAGGTATTAGCACCCTTTTCATCCATGGTTTTCCATGGGCTCTTAGTTACTTGCTAGATCACTTGCTTTTGAATGTGCTTGTGGTGTGGATTTTGAAAGTATTTTGAAAATATAACTTTGTAATGATTCTCGTTTCTATAAGAACGCATACAAAGTGTTTGTTTCGAAAATGTTTCAAAAAAGTGTTTGTGAGATGTGTTTTTGAAAGTGATTTTGAAAAGGTGTCTTTGTAATGATTCTCGTCTCTATAAGAACGCATACAAAGTGTTATCTTTTGAAAATGTTTCAAAGTGAGAGTGTTGGTGTATAGAATGTTTTTATTGTGAGCAAGCAAGCAACTGGGAGCGAATCTACCTACTCAAAAGGTCTTAGATGTTCTTTTCCTCCTCCTTTAGGTATTGCTATCTTACCATTAATTTGGTGAGAAGCCTCGTCGTTAGATGTGAAGGGACGGGCGTGGGTCATCGTATAGTCATAGAAGGCAACCCATGGATGTTTTAGCATTGTCGTTTAGGGACTAAATCGTTTACCGAAGGCAACATCGAGGGTCTTTGCTAAAACGCTCATGTTTGAGGGACATGGCTATTTTTTCCGATAGGCAACAAGTGAGATTAGCCTAAGGTGTGCATATGTGCAAAGTGTGTTTCATTGCATGCATTTTTTGTCTTGATTAGGGTTCTCTATTTGTTGATTTCATGTCTTTCCATACACACCCTAATTACTAGCAATATATGAAAGCAATAAAAAGTGCGGAAAGTAAATATCCTATGCTATTACAATCATCAGGGGGATGGGGTGTACAGATTTATAAATGGGGATTGCAAATAAAATTAAATCCTAAGTTACTATTACAACCATATTGAATGGATAAGAATGTACAAGAAAATATGAAATTGACTTGTTTTGTTTAAGAAAAGAAATAAGTTTTGTTTAAGAAAATATTTTTGATCTTTTTATTTTAAGAAATAAAATAAAGCATGTAATATGTAAAATGTTTTTGATGTTTTTGATTAGTGAAATAAAAAGTGATAGCAAAAATAGTAAGAAAAAAGAAAATAGAATCAGCACATTGCTGACTAAAAGAGATCAGAAGTTCTGACTTTGGCGTGCTGCAAAAACAGAAATCATATTAGTAGAAATAGGTAAAGTCAGAAGTTCTGGGTCCGTTGGGAACAAAGAAGATTTCAGAAGTTCTGATGCCACTGGCAGAACTTAGTCTCCCTCTCCATGCTAGTCAGAACATCTGCAACTTAGTCATTTCTCAACAGAACAGAAGATGCACATATAACAGTTATGGCAGGTTTCATAGTGTTTCAGAAACAAGAGATATCAGAACTATAAATCAGAAGCAAACATGAATTTGCTAATCCTAATTTCCTTAAGAAGTTCTGAACTAAGTTACTCCCTACTTAGGCATACAAATACGTGAAACCTCAGAATACGTACAACATCAAAATCATGATGTCTACATTGTATTTTTGAACATGCAAATATGACAATGTCTAAGTAATATGATGAGAGTGAGCAGAAGCTTACCTTACAGCTGGAAAATACTCTGTGAGCTGGAGTCTGGTTCTGAACTCTAGTGATGTTCTAAACAACTTCTTCACGTACTCAGCAGGCTGTAAGCTTTCAATTTGGGCTATGAATGATTAGAAAAATTCTGGAACAACCAAGGGGACAAATTTCTGACTTCCTTAAGGTGAATATGGATAGAGAATGTGTTACAGTCTGAACACAGAAGTTAGGATGGCTTTTGATATGTGAACCAGAAACTGTATGGAAGGTTTTGGTCAAGAAACACTTGAGAGAAAAAAAGAGTTTGAATGCAAGAAATCAAAAGCTAACAGGTTTTTGTATTTTGTGTTTGCAGTTTTGGATTCTTGGAATTTTAGCAGGGGTTCAAGGATTTTTCTTTCTTAATTTTCCGCCCCTTTTACAGTTGCCAATGGCTTTCAATTTATAGGCAAAGATCTTGTAGCTTGGAGAGTACAACCATCACATGTTAGGGTGCTGCCTTGTTCTTGAAGCAAGTATGGTGGTTAGCAGCTTTAGCAATGCTTAAGCTGGAATTGTAAGCAGTAATTAAGAAAAGGTAACCTCAAAAGCACAAGCAACACATGGGCCCAACACACTCTTGTACAAGAGTTTGCTTTTCCAAGACAGTAATGGTACTTCTATGCCACACGTGAGGAAATCCTTTGAACAAAGACCCAAAAGTGGTTGTAAACATTAAATGATGATGAGATTGATCAAACCAGAAATCCTACAACGTGAGATTTTGCATCATTGCTTAATTCAGGATCAGAAGTTCAGCTTCAACGTGACTTAGAATAGACATCCAACTTTTGATCTTTGTATCTCCTTGCTCCAGCATGTTCTGAAGGAGATCTCAGATTTTCCAGGAAGCTTGCAGCATGCTTTGTAACCTTCTTTGAATTACCCTTGAAAACTCTGACTGAACCTTTGTGAAAACTGGCCCAGAAGTTCTGACCAAACTCTGTCTTGAAAGTGTCCGGAATTTGCTGAGTGCTTTAGTTTCATGGACGTGTCTTTGAACATTTATAACTTGAAATTCCAACATTTCCAGGAGAAGTTATGTTCTGCAATGTTTTAGATCTTATTGAAATCTATAACTTTTGTGCCAGAAGTTCTTCCAGAATCAGCTTGCATCGTGGTGATAATCTGATCAGAAGTTCTGAGCTTGTCATATTTCTTAAACACTTAGAAAAATTCTTAGTATTTAGAATTTTGACTTTTGAATTTCTTGATGAAACAAACTTCATATTTCAGCATGTCTTGATGAAATATGATCCTTGAAACTTTATTTTGATCCAAAAGACAAAGTTTGACTTTTCAATGTGCAAATGACCATTTTGCCCTTGTGAATGACTTTCTTGAAAAATTTGTAATTCAAAGCTTGGAACTGGATGGAAGCAAACCTGAGGGTACATGGTGATCCTTTGAGAAATGAGAGGGAAAATTTTAGGGTACAACAGTTGCATCTATTCAATCTTCTTAAACCCGAAGAGTTAGATTGGAGGATCTGTCATTCGTGACTTGAAGGTGGAAGATGATTGAACACTAGAGTGCCCAGAAATTTGCACTCGAAGATGTTGTGGTTGATTGTATAGGGAATGGGCTTAAAGGTTCCATTTGGAGAAATGATGGACAGTTGTTAGAGATGGGCTTATAGATGCCATCCAGGGGTGATTGGATCTGCACTGTATTTGAGTGACAAAATGACATCCGAATCTTGATTGTATCTTCACTGTATTTGAATGTTGAATCTGAATGAGTATCAGAATGTGTTGTACCCCAAAATTTTCCCTCTCATTTCATCAAAATTTCTCATCACAAGACTCTTGGAACTCAAGATCAAGCTAGGGTTTGCTCTGCTCAAGACACCTCCTTGCACTGTTGACCTAAATTAGGGTTTGAGTTTGCTCAGGGATATTTTGACCTACAATGCCCAAAGTGACTTTCATACTTCATGTTGGACTCACAAGTTTGTCCATACCAAGTTTCAAGCCTTGATTCAAATTTTTGCCCAGTCAATTGGACAGTTGACATAGAAATCAGCTGTATTGGGGAAAAAGTCAACTGTGGCCAATTTACAGTCAAACCTCATGAATTTTGACCCACATCAACATTATGAACTCATATGAACCATTTGATCAAGTTTGGATCACAATTCCTCAAGAAATTTGATCAGATCACCAAAAGGGCAAAATGGTCATTTTTAGGGTTTTGACTGTAGAAAGGCAATTTTTGACTGTTTTACCTAGCCAATGGCAAATCAAGCTCAACCATGGACTCAAGGACTCAATGACATTGTCTTGACCCATTCAA